GATTAGTGTCTGTGTCTGTGTCTAGTGCAGTTATGTAGGGTTCTAAAGAAAAATAAAAATTAAAAAATAAAATAAATATTCGCACACTCACATTGGAAATCTAGGGATAGTATGTAATTCATACTTACCAACATAGCTATTAATGGCCACAATAGTCAACGCTATCAGGAAAGAAGAAAACAAAACAAAAATATCATTATAATAATTCCTGTACTTTTATTAAATAGAGTTTATTGTGTAAGTGTTTCTTTGGCTTTGCGTTTGGGTTGTATACGAGTGGGTTGTGATAACGTGGTGTGTTTATGTGAAGAAGGAGTTTTGTGTTTTTTAACTGTGCTAGGACGTGTAACTTTATTGGGTGGACCTGTCTTTGTAGTGCAAGTTGCGTTACTTGCATTTATGGTGTTTCTTTGTTCTTGAGGTTGTATTTGTGTGGTTGCTTGGGTTTTTGGTGGAGATATTACAGTATGTTGTGAGCATGTAGTTCTGTTAAGGTTTTCGCGTTTCGGTTGAATACGAGTGGGTTGTGATAATGTGGTGTGTTTCTGTGAAGAAGGAGTTTTGTGTTTTTTAACTGTGCTAGGACGTGTAACTTTATTGGGTGGACCTGTCTTTGTAGTGCAAGTTGCGTTACTTGTATTTATGGTGTTTCTTTGTTCTAGAGGTTGTGTTTGTGTTGTTGCTCGCATTATTGGTGGAGACATTACGGTATTTTGTGAGCCTCTAGTGCTGTTAAGGCTCCTCTGTAGTCAATCCGCCATATTGGAATAATAGCTAAACGTTCTTATGAAATGCTGCTTTTGTAGTTGCAGTCTAACAAATTCTCGATAGTGGATATTCTTTGCAATGATGAAAAGAACGGCGGTACTTAAAAAAATTGAAATATCGGTCTTAGTTTTTTAGGAAGATCGATGAATAGAAAAATCGTTTTTTGTAGATAACAGCCGTTGTAATGAGGGTAGAAAAACGTACAGCACCAATTTGGAAATCCGACAGTATTTCTTACGGCGGTACTTAAAGATATTATTTCCATCTATTATGATAAGGCATATATTTTAAAAAATATGTTTCGCGATCTTCAGAAAAAAATCAAAACGCTAACGTAAGGATAGGCAACTCAAATTGCACTTATAACGCCTGAGGCGACAACTCATTACTTGAAAGGGAAAACAAAAGAAACTACCTGGCATTATCCTGCACATTGTTACGCCGTTCCTAATGATATGGATTAGATAAATTACTATATAATTAGCTAATGTTCATGAATGCTGTTGATTTGTGAATCATAATGTCACATATTCCCAAGACGAAAAGTGCACTAAATGCATATTTATTGTAGGTACATTGGAAATAATTTTTGATTTCTAAAACCTTTTTCATTCTATCAGGATGCTTCAAGAAATTTGTTTAGGAAGGTATCAAATAGTAGCCCAATTTTTAGCTAAACCCCTAGCCCTAGGCCGGAATACGACTGTACCAGTAATTAGAAGCATTTTTGCCGCAAATTTGTTCTTGTGTAGAAATGTGGCACCGTTTTGATTTTTTGGACTAACGCATGACCACCACACAAACGGATAGCACAGTATCACAATTCGCAAACACTACTACTGAGTCGAGACTTAGAGAGGCAAGTGCTACTTATTTTTTAAATACGATATCAGATATCAGGAATATCCGCTTATCAAAAAAATAAAGGAACGACAAATTTTGATTTTTACAAATAAATTGGCGAGAGAGTTGCGCCCAATAGTTTTCACATTCTGAGCCTACCATTTCAAAGAAATTCGATTGCACTTGTTCATTTTAACTGAAATGTTCCAATTCTCCTTTTTAGTTAAATTTCTAAGCGGGATACGATAACTAATACTACTAATAGGCGACACTGACAAATTTATTTTAAAAAATGTTCCAAAACCCACTCGTGGGTATTGCCGCGTAACACAAAGTATTGAAACGACGCATCGTCACCAAAAGCACACAAAATGTCGAATCTGCATATTGAAGAACGTCCACGTCCAGAGAAACAGAGGAGTTAAATAAGTAAAATAAAGTTTCAAAGAAATATTACCATACATAAGAAAGTTGGCTGAGCAGCCTGTGCAGTCACTGCGTATGCCCACATAATTTTTACTATGTGCGAAATGTTTGCCTTTACTAGAAGCGCCTGTGGTTAAAATTTCAAAGAAATATCTCCATAAATAAGAAAGTTAGCATTGCGCAGTCACTGCGCAGGCCCACATAATTTTTACTATGTGCGAAATGTTTACCTTTACTAGAAGCGCCTGTGGTTAAAATTTCAAAGAAATATCTCCATAAATAAGAAATTTGGCATTGCGCAGTATGCCCACACATCACTGCGCATGCCCACACATTATTTTTACTATGTGCGAAATGTTTGCCTTTACTAGAAGCGTCTGTGGTTAAAATTTCAAAGAAATATCCCCATAAATATGAAAGTTGGCATTGCGCAGTCTGCGCAAAATATGGAGTTAAATGAAACTGATCGAATTGGGCAAATATAGACCATAACAGTTATCAATTAGCGAAAACCCGAAGTCTCTAGGTGGCCCAGGGGCCGAGATCTCGATGGAACGGACGGACGGAAACACGAGCACATAAGCTTTACCTCAACTTCGTTGTGTTACGCTAAAAAGTGTCATTCTTTTGCTCGTGTCAAGTCAAGGTAGTGAGACATCACGAAAATGAGTATTTGTATCAAAACATGGGTGAAATTTTTAGTTTTCCCGGTAATTAGTGGTGGGTAAAAAAATTCTCCCACTTTTAAAAAATTTCAACTATTTATTTTTTCCGTTTGAGAATATGATGGAATCCCGCAAACTTCACATCAACTTAGCGAATATGAACTGATATCGTCTCAGATCTTGCCTCTCAGAAAATAGAGGATTAACCGCGGAATCAACAAAATACTTTTAATCATTGTAACGGAATTTTAAATGTTAGCTACCATTTTTATAAAAAACAATACATTTTTGGTTGTTGTTCACCCTTATTGTATAAGAAAATAAAGAGATTTATTTTAGGTGTTCGAAGTGCCGGTTTATTAGGTTCTACCATACCTAAGTCCTAAGTGAATTCATTCATGCACATGTCTATCTAATAACTATAAAAATCTATAAATCAGTAAAATTGATTAGAAAGATTCACAGGAAATAAAGGGGTAATTAAAAAATGTTATAACAATGCTAATCTAGTCAACTAATGAATCAGATAAGAATCAGATAAGAATCAGATAATTTACAGAAGGTGTCATTATAGAAAAATGCAGTAAATGCAGTGAATAAGTAATTTACTCAATAGTAAAAGAAATATGCATTTGTGCATCTCCATTCAAATATTGTACAGCTTTTCGCTAAACTTGTTTACATAATATTAGTCCTTGACCATTATACATTGTGTTTAACAATAAATGAAGAGAATATGCAAAACTGGAAAGGATAGAGATACATCGTTGGTCTCACTCAAGGAGTGGGTACATCGTCTAGAGATGTGTATTGTTGGTGGTCTAACCAATTGCAATAACATTGAAATACAAATTGACTACAGAGGAGCCTTAAGGTTGCTGCGTTTGGGTTGAGTACGAGTGGGTTGTGATAACGTGATGTGTATTGTGTTTTTTAGCTGTGCTAGGCCGTGTAACTTTATTGGGTGAGGGCGTCTTTGTAGTGCATGTTATTATTATTATTATTATTATTATTATTAATTAATCATATTCAGTGAGATAAATCTATTTTTAAAACTGTTTAGCGCATTTCATCTACGTCTACGTGAATTGTTCCTGTACGTTTGAGTTTTGGAAACTATGAAAGTTATTTACCTGGTTATTTATGAATTTAACATTCTTCCAAATTGCTTTTTTTTCATTAAAAAGTGTATCTCGCACTAATGTCAAAGGTAGGTTGCGCATAGCATTAAAAAATGAATATGCGCATGGGCGGATCAATTTAATATTTTTTGGGTATTATTAAGACCCCGGCATGTACTTTTTACAACAATACCGTAGCATTTAAATATGTAAAAAAAAGTCGGGGCAATTGGGACCAAAACAACCATTATTTTTAAATAAAGGGGGTACCATGGTGTTAACCCCAACTTTTTTTTTAATTTTTCTTACCAAACATAATGCACAGCCTTTTTGAGAGTTTTGTTCAAATTATTTCAAGACATCAAATGTTTTTATATTTTGAATATTTTGATTCCTCTCATCTTTAAAAAACCCGAAGATATACCTAATTTGGTTCAGATCATAATTTTTTTTCGTTCCTCCGTTTAGAGGGAGATTAGTTTAGAGGGGATTTCGTACATGTTTTTATAAAAGCAAAAAGGGCATAACTTCAAGAATCTATGTAAAGTCGTTGTTAGTTCCACCAACAAATATTTTATGATTATTAGGAAAAGAATTAAAAAGACACGTAACTTTTAAGACATAGTTTCGGTCGCTGCTTTATTTGAAAAATAATTCTTGCTTTGACAACTGATTCATCTATAAATTTGGTTGAGCACAAATTGAAGCCTACATGATCAGATCACAACATTTAAAAGGTAGAATATACCTAACCTTTTCTTAGTATGTTAAATCATTGAGTGAGATTAGAATTCCACAAAGGGTGTGGAACACTTTCTTATGCAATTTGCTTCGAGATTACCTACAGTGATTTTGAAAATTAAAATTTGTGTTAATTATAAATTTTAGGGCCACAGGCCCACGGCCGCCGCTATAGCTGGGTAGATTTTTCAAAACACACGGTGTCGCCTTGAAAACCACACTGAGCTATTTTTGCCTTTCGGACGTTAGTAAATGGTGGAATACCCCTGTGTGCCGTCAGTGGGGCAATGACAAATCGTTAGAAAGAAGTTTACGTATAATCTTGGTTCAATTTTACTAAGTGGTATGATATTATTGCAGTCTCACTGCCTTAATGGTAACCGTACAATATGTACCGTTTTTGTACTTTAATACTTATTGGAGTTTTTAATTGCAGGTGTCTTAGTCCAAGGTCCGCCTACTTCTACGAATTTCCGCCTAATGGTAAGTTTAATCGAATCAAAGTAGGTATGTACACATTTTCTAAGACTCCATATGTTCAAACTGACGTCGCTTGGTAATAGTTTATAACTTCGTTTACATTCATGTCTTGAAAACTACATAATGAAGTTATTCTATGCCGTTTCCAACTTAACGTACGCATTAGAAACTATGCATAATCTAGGAACAGTTGCAGCTTTTAGTGTATAAAAACATTTCATTCGTGCTTTAAAGTTTCCCCCTCGTAATTATAGTTACGTCACAGGGTATACATGTAACGAATGCATACCGTAAATAACATTTATATGTAATGAAGCATCCGCGTTTTCTGTAAACGAAGTTTTATTATTCTATACGGCGCGCATTTCTCATGGTGACGCTTTTGATTACAATTTGAGTTTGAAATGGCGGAAAAACCCCTAAGATTTTTGTTTTTATTACGCTCCTTCGTTTTAATTATAACGCACCAAACCGAAAAGCTTTCAAAAATGGAATGTTTTATTTTGAAAGGGTCGCGAAAGTCGGAGACAAAGTTGTTAAAGGAAAGTTTAAAATAACTTTTTGTTTGGTTTGACTTTTATGACTGCCACTTCCAACACCTTTCTGGGAGTGGCACAGATTTAGTACGCTTCGGCGAAGTGATAATATAATTTCTGTTTCTTAATTTGTGTAATGACCAAGAGTAATAATTAATTGAAATACCTACTCCGGGTTGTACGTACTTGTAAGGGAAATGTATCTTCGTTGCGTAATCTTAACGGCTCTCTAAATCATGAAAAATGATAAAACAGAAAAAAATACCCTTTTTACAAAAAGACCGACATCTGAAATATCTCTGATATTTCTCATAGTTAACAAAGTGACGTGTTACGAATTGTTTTTGCGTGAGATAATTTTTAAGTAGTAAGAATGGTTCTTCCTTGCGAAGGCGTTGTACGAAATCTGTAGGTATATTTGCATTAAATTGGTGGCTTGTACTCTGGGGTAACTTTGCAAATTAATTCTTTAGTAATAAGGCAGCCGCTGAAGGTGAGAATTAGTGGGTGTACACGCAATGTGCTAATTTAACTACCCTACGGTAATATATCTAATTATTCTAAATCAGTACGACATTATCTGAGGTTGCAGTTTGGCTTTAAAGGACAGTATCTTGATAGTTGGAATTGTTGATTATGATACCTACCGCTATAACAATTCCATAGGTGAGACATTTTCGTTTAGGTAGTTATTTTCTCCGATTTCGTATGATTTGTTGTTGTATCAAAATTACCCGCCTCCAGATTATTGAACAATGTGCTGCTATTACGTGTTAATGTGCGTTCTTTTACCGATTCCTGGGCTTCTTTTAACGAACGACATATCGAAAAACACAGTTCAGACGTTCAGTCAGAAAATTAATTGCAGGTGCATGAATTGGGCACCAAAATTTCACTTCGTAAACTTGTTTACAATACAGGCAAAGGCATAGGGGTGGGTTAGGTCATTTTTTATAATTGTTGTTTCGCGTATATCTCGAAAACCGAGCGTTGTATTAATGCAGATACTAAATGAAAAGTACTTTACAAAAATCTAATGTACCTAATTAGTTGCAGCGAACTCAATAATAAAAGTAAACAAGCTCGTTTTGTTGAGGCATATATTTTTATATCCAATTGAGTTCGATTTTATATGATTTACAATTAAAATTGGCGAGTCCACCGGAAATACAAAGAAAAGCACAATCTTAATGAAATCGCACCCATCTCGATATCGCTATTGGAAATATTTTCGTTTTGTCCCAAACTCCACAACTCGTAGAAATTCAGAGCTTATTAGCTACACAGCGAAATTAAAAGAACAGGGCAAACAATATCACTGTTAAGTTCCTTATAGAGACCATCGAAATCAGATTTCTCTCAATCCATATTGACCAAACGTTATTCAGTAAAATCAACAGTAATTTCTTTGTGGGAAACGATGCTTTGTTGAGTTTAAAGTAGATCACAAAACGATAAATAGGTGTGCTGAGATTGTAGGTTAAAAAAGTATCATCTACAGCGCAGTGGTTCAAAAACTTCTTTCCCCCATACTGAAAACTAAAATTGCTCACGCCCCCCTCCCTTCCTCGATTAAAAAATAAAAACTGCTTTTACTACAAAAGATGTATTTGTTAAAAAAATTACATGTTATGTAATAATTTTTAATAATTTAATAATTTAATTTTTTAATAATTTATTAGACCTTTGTAGCTATTTTTACAATAGATAAGGCTGGTCACACAAAGAGAATCAATAGGTATAAAACACACACATTGTATACAAATATTGGACAAACATTATTATTTACATGACATTCATGTACTCTTGGATTGTGTAACAACACTTTACAATGTGTAGGTCTTTGAGCACATTTTTGAACGTGTTTGTGTTAGTGATATTCTTGATGTCAGGTGATAGTACATTGTAAAGGTAACACCCTGCGTACTGGACCGACTTCTTGAATTTTGAGTGATGGCATTTCGGAAGATACAAATTATCTCCAGATCTAGTGGAATATTCATGGTTGTCACGGTTTCGTTTTAAAACTAGTCGGTGTTTATGAATGTACACTAAAATTTTTAACAAGTAAACTGACACAAAGGTTAAAAGTCTATTATTTCTAAACGTGTCTCTACACGATTCGTTAAATTTTAGATTGTATATACGCCGGATTACTCGTTTTTGTAAGGTAAACACTCTACAAGCTTCTGTTGATTGTCCCCACACGATAATGTTGTAACTAAAAGCAGAATACACTTTGGCATAGTAAACTGAGAGTAACGCATTTTTGTCCAGGTAATTAGTTAAATTAAGGAAAAGATAGTGTAGTTTTTTTAATTTTGTACAGACGAGGTCAATATGGTCAGAGAAAGTCAACTTACTATCGATAACAGTTCCCAGAAAAGTAGCTTTTTCAACAAGATTAATAATTTGTCCGTCGTCGGTTTGAATTGAGATAGTTTGGGGGTTTCTAGTTCCGTAGCTGAAGCCTATACACGCTGTTTTGTTTATATTGACTTTCAGTTTATTATAAAAGCACCATTTCATAAATAAACTGAGCGCAGTTTCGAGCTTTGATATCGTTTCTTCTTGAGTTGAGGCTGAGACGATAATAGTGGTGTCATCGGCATACATAAAGAGAATGCCATATTTTCCCAGATACTCGACCATATCGTTAACGTAGATTAGAAAAAGCATTGGAGCAAGGGTACTTCCCTGTGGAGTCCCAATATCGATATTAAATTGTTCTGATTTCTCTCCCTTTATGTGAACTCTGAAACTTCTATCCGACACGAAGGAAATCACCCATTCGTTAACTTTTCCTCTAATGCCTGCTGCATTTAATTTTTCTGCAAGTAGTTCATGGTCTACAGTGTCGAAAGCCCGTGAGATGTCGAGGAGCGCTGCGATCACTACCCTCCCACGGTCCAGTTCTTTATGAATTTCCTGGATGAAATCAATCGTGGCAGTTTCTGTTGAGCGGTTTTCTCTAAATCCGTGCTGAGAATGACTTAAGACATTGTTGTTATTCAAAAATGCAGAGATTTTATCGCACACAATTTCCTCAATTATTTTTGAAAACACTGATAGCACTGAAATTGGTCTGTAGTTAGACGGGTCCTTTGGATCCAGTTTTTTGTACACTGGTATAACTTTTGCTACTTTTAACTGGGTCGGGAATTTACCGCATTGTATCGATACATTTATCAGTATAGATAGATAGTACGCGAAAGCAACGCGGCACTCTTTCACTATGGCGATAGGAACTTCATCAGGACCTTTCGATTTTTTATTACCTAGAGCGTTTATGACATCCAACACACAATTTTCGGTCACAGGTGGCATAAAAAATGACTTAGGACAGAAATTTAGTTGTAGGGTGAGGTTTTTTCATATTCGCTATGGGGACTCGTAAATCGTAGATAAGAGATACCAAGCGGTTTAAATGGGAAACGTTAAGCAGAATTTTATGCCGATTGTGTGATTAATTTTCCCTTTCAAAGTTTCTTGTAGGTCTACAAATAGCGAAGTCATATGGACCAAAAACGGAAAAATGTGTTTTCAAAGATATTAAAAAATAAGTTTAACATACCCGTAGCGATTTTCTCTCAGCTTTCTGATGGTGCTAAAATGAATTTGTTATGATCCATAATATATTATTTTTGTTTAATCATTACAGCCATACCATCATTGGCTATTCACGTCGTTTTTAGTTCATTCTTAAAACACCACCTCGCGCCTTGTGCTTTCGGGGGGGGGGGGGTCTCGCTGAAGGCTCTGTATCAATGTGGGAGGTTATATTTTGAAAATTTGTAATGTTGTAGAAGGATCTATTCAATAAATTTTTTTTAATCAAATTGGTGACGTTACTTTTCGGGCAGGTCCTGTATATTCACTTTATAACCTATCAACTATGAGCGATTTTTGTCTCCTTTTTATTATACAAGATACATGTGTGAAGGCAACTATAGTAGTTCACCTTCATTCACCGTAAATACGTTTAAATTAGAGCCCTCCAGAAGATTAGAGTCCACGAGATTCTCTCAACTTTTAAAATCCGAGCGATCACGCGCCCTTGTGAACTTTCGAGATCTATTTAAAGTTTTTCGGGGTCTTTTAAACCTTTAAGAGAGTCGAGCCTTCAGGACATCTATTAATTTTTTTGGGCTTTTACAGACCACAAACGGTGTACAAAAGCCTGAACGCTCTCTGACAACCTTCCAGAAACTGATATTCTCAGTCAAACTTTTAGAAGACATTATGAATGTTTGATGAGCCTTAACTGGTCTTCCGAAATCTTAAGAGCTAAGAACAGTTACAGACCTTTAGTATCGAACGTTTAAAGTATTTATTAATTTCTGAGGGTCTTTAACAGACATTTAATCTTTAAGACCATTAAGGAGTTTTTATGAGCCTCTAAGAGTCTGTTTGTAGAATTAAATCTATAAGAGCCAATATGAGCTTTTAAGATCCTAAAAGAGTCGT